TTTATTACATATAATTTTTACCAATAAAAATAGAAAATGTTATGATTATTTGTGAATGTATTTAACTTTTTATTTATTTATGATATTTTAATTGTAAAAAAAAAAAAAAGAGGATAAATATTTTTTTATAATTAAAATTTTTTATTGGAGATCCAAACAAGAAGCCCAAACCATAAAAATTAAATAAAATGAAGGAACTCAACAAAGATAATTATAACTCCAACATTTTTTGATAATCAAAAAAAAAAAAAAATCCAGCATCTTTCCTTTTTTTTTTATTTGATAATCAACTCCAACATCACTTGTTCATTTCGTTTTCTCAGATCTTAATTTTCCTATCCCTTCTTTCACTTTTGTTAAAAGTACATAAATTTTATTCCATTTGCATCGAAATTTATAAATACCTATAAGCAGGAACAATCTCTAGAAAAGGTTAAAAACGAAAAAGTAAATAAAGCCCATCAAGATAAATTTAAAAAAAAAAATCGCATTAAGCACAACAGTTTCCGATTGAGTCTCAATTTATAACCGAAGATAAACATGCAGAGCAAGTCGTGCGCGACGTGGACTTACACTCTGTTTGGATACCGAGAAAACGATAGAAAACTAAACAAAGTGTAGTGGATACTGGAGAGCTCTACCCCACATGTGCGTGCTCTAGATGTAGGAATTTTTTCTGTACTAGGGAGGAAAGGGGAAAACGGAAAAAAGAAAGAAGGCATTCGATTGTGCTCCCCGGCGGCCGACCGTAGTGCAATGGATGAATTAAACAACTAGCAGGCAGAGCATATATCTTATATGTTTCTCACTACTGAAAAACATTTGATTATGAATCAAAAGAAAAGTACCTGACACAAATATTGTTTATCTGAGCTCTCCATAAGCTAATTTAACACACAACATTATTACTACACCTGATTGAAGTTAGCCACAACAGGTTCATTCAGATCAAAGTCCAGTATCCTAGGCGACACTGCTGCCGGCGGTGGCACCACCGCTTTACTTCCCCTGCTCAACCTGCAGTCAGTGTGTTGAACTCCCCCATTATTGTGATGGACCAATTTTCCCGATGAAGGGTTTTCCTCTCCTGAGCGGAATGAACCTCTCCAGAGGGATCTCATAGGGGTTGTTTCTTGTTCATTTTTCATTTTCACAACAGCTTTTCCTCTGTTGATTTTCAGCTTATCTGTTGATTGCGATAACAACATGAGAGAATAAGCAGCGTCCGGAATCTCATCGGAGATGTTTTCTTGACGATATTGTTCCGCCACATAAGACCATTTAGAGAAAGACTTGAACAGATCCTTACCGGCGCCCAAATTCTTTTCCCCTGCTACCGCACAGCTCATCTGATCGTCGACTTCCATAGCCAATTCGTTTTCCGATACACTCGAGCAACAGCTGTTCTTCTCCAGATTTGGTGGCCTGATCCCTCTCCATCCCCTCTCCGGATGATTCCTCATGTGTCCAAACAGCGATTTCATCGACCCGAACTCCTTGCTACATAAACAGCATCTGATAATTTTCCGATCCTTCTCAGTCTCATCATCTTCCGCCGTTATTGTGTCCTGCTTCGTACTGACCTCTTCCAATCCCGAACAACCGGAAGCCACCGTTCTCTTCCCGGATTTGTTTCTTTTACTTCGGCTGGTTTTGTTATGCTTCACGTGAATTCGGATATGGCCTCCCAAGGCCTTCCCGCAAGAGAATTCCTTGTTACAGAAATGGCAAACATGTGGCCGGAGCTTTGCAATCTTGAGCTTAAGCAAGAAGCTTTTAGGCTTTTCCGGCGCTGAATCTGGTGGTTCCGATGAAACAGACCCACAATGGTGATCATCCATGGACAGAAAATTAAGCGGAAGCTGAAGGGACCAGAGAAGGGGTTTAGGGCAGAGAAAAGGAATTAAGGGGAAAATGGTAAGACTCTAGATAGACATAGCGATAATCTCCGAGAATTTTACGTGCAATAATGGCGGTCTTCATTGAATTTCCAATGTATAACAGATTCCAATTCACCGCTCTTTTGAATCTCCAATCAAATCAAATATTAATTTCAATTAGAAATCTTTTCGGGAAATCCTTCAATTTTCCATAAAACTAAAACTCCCATTACATACTTGCATAATCAACCTAACCAACTTTTTTTTTTTTTTTTGGTGTGATAATGATGTCATAATGAGTTTATATTAAAGGATAGTCATCATCTTTTTCTAATTCAAGATTTAAATATAAAACTTCCAAGTTAAATTTCTGTTCTAACTAATTGAGTCAATCTCTAGGACAATCAACCTAATACATGAATCTATAAAAAACGATTTTGTTAATAGTATATATCAATATCCAGATTAAGCGAAAAGAGAGATGATTATCCATTTTTTTGTATAATTTAAAATTAAAAAATATATATTATTATATATGTTAACTTGAGTCGAAACTCTACCAATGAAAGATTGAATGGGTGGTGACGTTCTCAATTCCGTTTAAGTAAGGTGACGTTTTCGATTCCCTTTAAGTAAAGTGTCGAGTTTGACTTTTACAAAAGGAGAAACAAGTACTAAGAGAATTTTTTTTTCTTATGAGGTCAGACTTGACTCTATTTCAAATTAATCGAGATTCAATATAATTACCAGATATCGGAAGGTCAATTAAAAAAAAATGTAATGGCTCCACCAATGGAAGATGATTTCCAGAGAGTGGATTGAGGCAAAGTTTGTTCACGACGATGACGAATTACAAAAGTAAAATATAAGAGAGGGCATGATGGTTAAATAATTAAAAAAATATATTTGTTAAACGTAATTTAACTAATTAAAATTTTAAAAGTTTAATTTAAAAATCTCAAGTTATATAGATAAATATATTATACATTCTTTTTAAATCCCTTCTAAATCTTCTTAAGAGGATAAAATATATAAAATCTCCAATATTAAATACGGGGCAATTGATCTTTCATATATGAAACAATATCTCTTATTTTTTAATGGGTAATGATATAAAGATAATTTTTTGTATGATTTTTTTGTATAATTTTTACATATTATTAAATGAGTGGATGTATTCAATATTATGATTCTAAATGAAGGAAAAGAATTAATTATTTAAATAATACATAAAATTATATAAAAATATGATACAAAAATATTATTTCTAAAGCATTTTTCTTTCCAAAATTTTCATTGAGATTCGAACTGCAAAACATTGCATTTGTGTTGACTAATTTATATTTATTGTCATGCAAAAATTTTATGCAATTACGTTTAACTTTCCATTTAAGTTTTGATCGTTTGATTGCTTCTCCTTTGTATGACTTTCTGTCACAGTGGAGCTTTATTGGTAAATATGTTCATCATTTGGTATTTCCAGAAGGAATTCATATGATATAGTCTGTATGATATATGAAAAGTGTAGTTTACCTTATAAATTTGTTAAAATATTTTTATTAAAAATATTATTTTATTAAAAATATTTTAACAAATTTATAAGGCATATTTTATTTTTAATGTATAATCTATTTTTTCGAATAATACAATTTTTGATGAAGTTATTCACTTTTATTTTATTTTTTAAGGTTTACATTTATCTTTAGATAATTATCAAAACATAACAGATAAATATTAAAAATAAATAAGAAATGGTAATTCGGTAATTCCCACTAGTAAAATCTTTATGAATATTCAAGCGCACAAAAAATGGGTAAAAGTTGCAAATAACCTAAATAAAAAAACTCTGTGTAATCTTCTCATAAAATTTGAATTTGAATTACATAATATAAGAGTAGAGTTGGTTAAAAAATAAGAGAGTATTGACTTTTACTTAAGATTAAAAAAAAAATAACAAAATAAAGTTTTTATCGGTTTGAGAGGTCTAGGGTTTTTCTACCCTACAACTCAAAATTAAACAAGGGAAACCTATGTTCTAAAAGAATAGGTCAAAAGTATATTTATTCATATTTATTCCACCTTTATACTATTAACTTGTATGAGGAATTATAAAGGTTTAAGTACCATTTTGGTCCCTCAACTTTTTATTTTGGTATCAAAATTGTCCCTTAGCTTTATAAAGTACCAAAATTATCTTTAGACGTTCATTTTCGGTACCAAAATGATCATTCCGTCAATTAAATTACAGGGGGCTTGTTAAAATGCCACAAAATCATTAAACTTTTTGAATCTTAATGACGTGTAAATCCAACTATGAAAATTTTGTTACCATGGTATTATTTTTTTTTACACGTGGCATATTTTTTTACACATCATATTATCACCTTTTAAACTTTCCCTTTTAATGGAGCCCACATGACTTTTTTTAACTTTTCTTATTCTTTCTCTATCTCCTTTCTTCCCCTCTTCTTCTTCCTCTCCAAATCTGGGTTCTCCGGCTTCTGATCGTCTTCTCCGGCATCCCGTTGTTTTTGTGCTCGGAAGCCTTGGGCTTCTGAGGTTTGCTGCTTGAGCCGCCGGGTTCTCCGGTTTCTCAAGCTCGATGGAGCCGGCCTGTTCCCTACTCCGATGACCCCATGAGGTCTCTCGACGACTAGGCCCTTCGGGTGCCTTTTTTGGGTTTTTGTTTTCTGTTTGTTTTCTTTGTTTCCTATTTCTGTGTGTTGCCCGCTTGCTTGCAAGTCTTGCGGCACCTTGCTCCCTCACGCAAATCTACCAAGCTGCACGTTGGAATTCCCAAATCTGGCGGCCGTCACCCAAATCTGGTCTTCGCTTGTTCATCTTGGTTCTTCGCGGAACCCAAATCTGGGTTCCGCGAGGAACCCAACCCGGTGTTGGGTGGCGGAACCTAACCCGATGCTAGGTTTCTTGAGGAACCCAGTTCCTTGAGGAACTTAGTTTTGGGTTCCTAGGTTTCGTGAAGAACCCAGTTCTGGGTTCTTGGGTTCCTCGAGGAACCTAGGTTCTAGGTTTCGCTCTGTTTTTCTTGCTCTGTTTCTTTGGCTTCTTGCTTTGTTTGGTTGCTAAGAAAATATTTCTGATCCCCTTTTTTTTTTTTCTTTCCGTAGAAAAGTTGTTTCATTTTGCACTATGTGAAAACTTAAAATGAGTTTGAGTTTTTCATTTGCTTTTTCTTTCATTTTTCATTGAATTTCATCCATATCTTCCAAAATTTGGAAGTCAGTATTGAGTTCGTGTTTGTTTTCATTTGGCCTTCGGGAACTCAACTAAAACTGGAAAAGGAAAACAATTTTTCATGTGGGCCCCACAAAAATTGAATCTGAAAAGGGAGAGCAATTTGATATGGGAAAAACATGCCACGGTAGCAAATTTTGTTCGCTGGATTTACATGTCATTAAAATTTAAAAAATGCAGTGATTTTGTGGCATTTTAACGTGCCACCTGTCCACTTAATTGACGGAAGGACCATTTTGGTACCAAAAAAGAAAGTTTAAGGATAATTTTGATACTTTTTAAAGCTGAAGGACAATTTTGGTACCAAAGTGAAAAGTTGAGGGACCAAAATGGTACTTAAACCAATTATAAAAGTTAATTTCATTTTCAACATTAATCTCACAAATGGTTAATAGAAACTAAAGTGCATTTTTATTTTTTTAATATAAATTAATAATAAAAAATATAATAAATGTACTTTTAATTTATACACTAAAGACACAATGCATGAGTTAAAAATTTTCATTAAATAATAGGTTAAATACCTTTTTTTATCCTTATACTGAAAAAATCTCCTTTTTAATCCCTAAATACT